TGTGTGTGTGTGTGTGTGTGTGTGTGTGTGTGTGTGTGTGTGTGTGTGTGTGTGTGTGTGTGTGTGTGTGTGTGTGTGTGTGTGTGTGTGTGTGTGTGTGTGTGTGTGTGTGTGTGTGTGTGTGTGTGTGTGTGTTCACCTGAATGGGTCCGATAAAGACTGAGACCGCTTCATCGTTGCTTCAACAATCATGACTTTCTTTCTCTCATGCGGAGAAGCAACGGTCTGAAATTGTATCGACGACGAAACAACCATGACTTTCTCGTCTGGCACAGTAAGCTACTCCTGCATTTATTCAGTTCATGCGTTGTAAAATTCGTTCGCTCATAAACAAAACATGTACATTTGTAAATGTCATCCAGCTCTCTCTCAGTATGTAAACAGTTCTTATCATAACGTTGATCTTACAGCATTGACAATTTGTGAGTTGAATCCACTGTGGCTTATTGCCAGGAAAGATCGAAGAAGAATGAAAATGTAAACGAGTGATATCACGACATCTACCCGTCTAATGAAAGAGAATCAACAAACACCCACAGACGCACACATGCACCCATGGACAAACACACACAGACGCACACATGCACCCATGGACAAACACACACAGACGCACACATGCACCCATGGACAAACACACACAGACGTCAAGCACAGCCACCCATGCAAAACATCACATATGACCACCGCACAATGCCCAGCCCATGACAAATCACCCACGACGCACCTGAACACCTGACCCCATGACAAACACACTACATGACGCATCACATCGCACCTCATGACCAACCACATCCACAGATACGCACACATTGCAACCCAAGGACACCAACACAACACAGACGCCCACATGCACCCATGACGACAACACACCACAACGCACACATCCACCCATTGACCAACACACACAGACCGCTACACATGCACCCATGGACAAACACACACAGACGCACACAATGCACCCATTGGAACAAACACACCACAGAACGCACACATGCACCCATATGACAAACACACAGCGACCACCTGCACCCATAGGACAAGACCACCACGCAGACGCACACACATTTCACCATGACAACACACCACAGACGCCACACCATGCCCGTCATTGACATAACACACACAGAGCGCAACCACATGCCATCCCATGGACCACAACCACACCACAGACCTCACACTCGCACCCATGACCAACAACACAGACGCCAACAATGCACTCCATCGAGACAAACACAGCACAGACGCGCTCCACACATTCACCCATCGGACACAACACACACAGACGGCACACGATCACCCATGACAACACACCAACCACACATGCACCCATAGGACAAACAACACACAACGCACATCATGCACTCCAATGACAACACACACGACCACCATCATCACCTACAATGGACATAACACACACAGACGCACCCATGCACCGCTATTGCGACTAACCACACACACGACCGCACACATCACGCCCATGATCAAAACATCACCACCGACCACACAATTCACCCATCGGACAAAACACACACCCCAGACGCAACATTCATCCCAATGGACAAACACACACAACGCACATCCCCATGCATTCCCACCCAATGACAACCACACGTGTTCACTAGACCATGCACATGCACTCCATGACAAAACACCCACACAGACCACCCATGCCCCCATGGACAACCACACCACAACGCACAACATGCACCCATGACCAAACACAACACAGACGCACACTCATTCACCCCATCGACACAACACACACAGACCGCATCACATCACCCATGACAAACACCACACAGACGCACACATGCCATCGTCCATGAACAAACACACACAACGTCACACATGCACTCTTCATGGTATCAAACACCACACAAGACCTACACAACACACCTACCCACACACGCTCACGCACACACCACTCCATGCATCACATGCACGGTTCTGACGCACAGCAACCACACGGCCACGCACCGCCAACGCACCCCCCTTCCCACACACACACACACACACACACACACACCTACACACACACGCACGCTCGCACGCACCCACCGTACCACACACCTACACGTACCACGGGGGAGAGTGACATGCGTTCGACGGTGGCTCGTAGCTCGTCGACGGACGCCGCGATCGGGTGGCTGTGTCCCAGCGGCCGGATGTTCACCGTGAACTTCTTCTGCTCGTCGTCGTCGCTGTCGCTGTCCGACGTGCCCGAGCTGTCGTAGGGCACGCGCCGCTCACGTGAAGGTGCCACGCGTGGGGTCAAGGTCGCAACATGTGATGGTAAGGTCGCGGCGCGGCGATTAAGCCCAAAAAAATTTGAGGATTTGGAAGTGGAGAATACTAGAAAAATAATGTTTTAATTAAAGGGGGGCTTCCTTTTTCCCCCCATCAAG